ACCAGTCAACATGACGGCAATGATTTCTCGCATTGCAATACATGCAGGTGAGCGGGAAGAGCTTGCCATCACAACCATTGGTGGATCACATTCTAAAAGATAAGCCTCATTTTCCTGCCACTTCATGAACTGGTACATGATTCGCTCCATTGGGGACACTGATGACCGACATGAAAAGACGGTACACAGAGTCTTCGTTCTCCAACCAAACCTTTGTCTTCTTCGCTTTGACTCTGAGAACTTTCCGATATAGATCAGTGGAATCTCCCGACTGGGCTTCAATCATTTCTGCACCGGTCACATCTTCATCGCCAGAGACACCAAGCGACGATTGTTTTCCATGTAGTCGGCGAAACCCTTCGCGCAGAATTTGGTGGTATCCCAATGCACACCTCACATTCTACAGGCAGTCCTCCCAATGAAATGCATGCAAGTAGCTACAGCTAGAGTTTGACATGCACTATCTCTCCTTTGACATGCGCTATGTGGGATCTTATTTACCGTTTGTGTTTCTGTTTGACGCTTTGGTTTCCTGTTCTCTCTCCGAAACATGTGCACATTCTTGGAGAGCACTGAGTCAGAACAATTTAGAATCTAGAATCTAGTAAATCCCAACGCAATACCAATCATGCCTATGCAGCATACATGTGCGCGACAAGTCACAGGTAGTACCGAGCGGCCTTGCCGCAGCTGGTCCAGCGAGCAATGGCAGGTGTTGTGGGCTTCAATCCAAACACGAAAGCCTCGCGTTGCGCTCACATTGTAGTTAACTGAACTGAAACCATGCCCAAAAACAACCAGAAAGAAACATCTTCTTTAGAACTGCAAGATATGAAATATTTGGAAAGTCAAGTTGATCAAGTAACAAAACAGATCAAGAATTCAAGAATCAAAAAACTCACAGTTAGTACAAAGTACAAAGTACAAAGTACAAAGCCTCAACTGGCCCCAAAGTCAATCATTGCGCAGTGCAGCTGACCACAAACCAAGGGACAAGGATCGCCACCCACAACTTGCGCCGCGTCTCGTCCAAACCTCCTCTGCAGCAACCAATGCCACCGCAGTGATGAACCAAGTGACCACTCAAACTCCAATCGCCAGTGTCTAGCTTCAGAAGCTCTTCGCCCAACTGCAACTTGCGGCTGTAGCTGTCGAAATCAGGGTCTGAAGAATCCATTGGACCACGGCAACCGAGAACCAAATGCACAAAGGCACGATTACGTCGCAGAACTGATTCGTCGGGCCTGCGCCGGCAGTCGCATGGTGGTGCTTTGATGCTCTTTGCAAGAACAGATTGATTCAAAACAGCTTGGCGCCTAGCCATGGATCACAACATCTCAAACGAATCGATCAAAGATCAAAGATCGGAATGCTGATCTGATCCGTATACTTGTACTACTATGTATGGCAATGGTATTTCAGGCCCCCGGTCAACCATATACCCGGGCCCTGTCCTGTCGAACGACACCTGCACTGTTCCAGGGGCCATCACCCAGGCTTGAATGTGTCGCAATAGATTCAGCAGATTGCTGCCGCTTGAAAGAAATCCTGTTGTGTAGAACCTCAAGCAAATCTGTGCAGAGCTAGAGTTTAGTAAGACGTCGCACTCTAGCTGCTCTTGGTGATAGACCTCATGCACTCGTTGCGAAACTTAAAACCTAGCAAAGAATTGTAAACATAACCTTCCTTCAGTTCATTCTCGTAACAATTGCTACTAAACTATAAAGTATCAACTATAAACGGTTGACAAGCTAAACTTATAATCCAAGTCACATGCTATGTAAACATAATCTTCATTCAGCTCATTCTCGTAACGATTGCTACTATAAACTATAAACTATAAACGTTTGACAAACTAAACTTATAATCCAAGTCACATGTTTGTTAGGTGGCCCAGCCCTCGCCAAATCGGTTCACTCGAGTGATTCAATGCGTGCCTTAGCAATCACGCAACGTCGATCAACTTGGGTGCATATTTCTGTTCCAGCAGGCAATGAGCAACAAAATAAGTCGATCAATGTCGAGGATCATATCGCATAATTTGTGCATTGCAACTACGTTTGGCCGCCGTTGCGCCAATATCGCAGAACGAAACAGTTTCGTGTTCGCTGTTGCTGCGTCTGAAGTGAGCCGTATGACACACACAGAGCACCAGTCGGACCAGCCTCAGCTTGCAAGCCGTTCGACCTAGTGACTTTGGGCATCTTTGGGCTTCTAAGGCTGTCAACTCTGTTTTACATTACACATTCTGAGTCTATGAATTTGAATTCAATAACTTGCTTGCATTCCAAGGGGCTCCAAAATGGAACAGGATGTTTTTGCAGCATACCTTCCCACAGGCATTCTGCACTAGTGTTCTCGAGGACCGCTGTGGCAATCGGAACACTTGTGTGCCTGGCACTTACTAGTAATCAGCAACATCACATGAAATTGAAAATTTGTTAAGTTCAAAACTCAAAACAAACTTCCAATCTACAAATCACAGCGTGACCAATAACTGCGTAGATCACGCTGCTTGCAAAGGTCGTGAAAGACTGGTGTCACCGCATCACTTGTCATGTCCATTGGATGCTCCCTAACACAGCCAAGGTGCATGAGATGTTGGTCGGATTGTCTCTTCTGCGCAAAGAGTTCCATCCGCTGAACCTATAGCTTTGGGATGGCATTGGTCCGAAAATCTCATGTGTGAATGCTTGATGTTTAGAATATAATATTTCAGAATGTATAATATTTCTGTACCCTCGTCGGTACTAAAGCAAACTGCTGTTGTAGTATAGCATTGCATGATGTTGCATGTTCTTGCATGTGATTCATGTGTATTGTACAATGTGAACATTGAGTTCTGCCTTATTATACAAGTTGCTTTCCAATAAATACTTTCATTAACATATACCATGTTGGCTCAACATACAGTAGTTGGTTGTGGCAACAATACTAACCACTAAACAAGAAATCACGGCTGTTAAGTTGTCGCAAAAAAACGAATCACCACTATGCATCATCATTTATTTTGATGCGACTGCCAAGTGACCAGGATGGGGTATGTGGCTTCCACATCAAGCATACCAGATCGCAAGCGAGTTTTTTTTGATGACTCATCGAATTCCATGCTCACGCAAATCAGATGAGGTTTTTCCTGAGTCCGGCGCAGTTTGTTCATGCGCTGACCGTGCAGGGGCTAACAAACAGTTCGTTAAACTATGAACCCGTTAAACTACGCAAAGAGTAAAAATGATAAACAAATAACAAAAAATATATTCATCACATCCAAAAACAAACACAGCTGCGCAGGTAAATGAATCATCATTTGCATATAATATATATATATATAAATAAAAAGCCCACATATGCATACACACATTGTATATAACATATTTTTTAATGTTTGCAATAGATACATTCATAGGCTATAGTATATAATATAATATATATATATATTATTTTATTATTATATACATATGTATAATATTTCATATATATATATAATATTATATATTATATTCATTATATTATGTATATCTAATAATGTAAAATTTTAAAGGTATATGGTATAATATAATATATAGAAGAATATTATAGTTAGTCCGTCTATGAGTCCAGGACGCCTTTCACGCAAACTACCTTGTTAACCTGACACCCTCCGAACCATGTCGACTACACAGTCAAGTTGCTTGCTGAAATCCACGAACGGCAACTGAAATTGACTGCAGAAAGAGTTGGGCAACGGCCCCGCGAACCTGATTGTCAGCGGTTGAGTCCAAAAGTATGATGCCTTCATCTCTGTAGTAGCAATCTATTCAGGCTTACTCATCTTTGTTACATCAACCTTTCTAGACCAGTGCGCTCATTTTACTGTATGCTGCCAGAAAGCCGCAGAGATGAAACTTGTGGATGACTGCAACCAGTAGGATAACGAATTCGCTGAAAAACACCCTGGGGTCTTGAGATCCCGAGATGGCAGCTTCATATTCTTTCGCTTGCCGTCGGACTTCGCAACTTTCTTCTTGAAACCCTTCATGTCGATGGGGTTCCCTAACCTCATGTTGCAGTACCATGTTGGATTGGTGGAAGGTGAAACCGAACTAAGAAAACACCCCTGACTCACATGTGTACAACATTTGCAGTAACCATTGAACATTGAATTGAATTGAACCATTGAATTCAATCGTCAACCGTATTTGTTCACATACATCATACAAGGCTTGGAAGTTCACTTCAAATTCAACCTCTCTCAGATCCTTCTAAGATTTTGTCACTTGTCACATCAAGCGTCATGGTTTGCATTCAATTATTTTATTTCAACAAAAAGTATAGGATCAAAAGGCGTACAAACTTTGAGTTTTCCACAAGCTCTGGATGGTTGGCAGTCGAGATACGATACCTTGAGCATCGCCTCTGCTGTCCATGTGCGGTACTTACCCTTTCCTCGCACGGCCGAACCAGTATCCCTCTTCCTCACGGCACCCTGCATGACAAGGGAGACGCCAGTCGTAGTTGCCTTCCCTTTCCTGGTACAAAAAAAACGACAGACTGCAGTATGCAAATGTGTGCAAATCACAAACTGTAATCGCAAAGAAAACAATGGCCATGGTAACGGTTGCCTTGCTGCTGTAAGAGTATGCAACTGAAAGTCTTGATGCAATCAATGCAATCTGAGATTCGGTTTCTCTCGTCGCAACTTTGCTGTTTCTTTGCCTGTGTGGCCAAAAGCCACCACATAGCCATAAAACCAAAACACCACCTGTACAGTAATGTAATAATGACTGACATGAAACCATCGATCATATTTGTCTGTGTTAGTTTTTGGTACAGTAGTAGTTCAGTTTGGTTTTTGTTCAATTGGTTTGCCCTGTGAAGGTTAATTTACTGTACTTTACTTTGTTTTTCTCGATTTAAGTTAGGTAAGTAGCTTTGGTTTGCTTTGGAACCTTGCTTCAAACCCTACACACAAACCCCAAAAAATAAAGACATAGTGAAGTAAAAGAAGCTCGATACAACAAGGCTTTGCAACAAAAGCTAATGACAATGACAATGCCACAACCCAATCCCCAATGTTTCCGATGACTTTGATTGAAATTGATCGTGTTCGGTCATCAAATTATGATGTTTGGTTATCAAAGAAATCTGAAGCTGACCACTGGACATGCACATGCTTAGCACATAGTTCCTGACCCAAATGATGCTCATGACCCTTCACTCATGAACGCCGGGGCACACTTTCGCATAAAACGCATGTGTGACCTCACCAGCTTTGCATCATCATTCAGCTCGGCGGGCGCATGACACAGGCGGCCCACAACAGCCAGCGCCCTCCGCAATACATGCGCCATGAGACTCTAGGACTCTAGCACCATGAGATATGTTGTTGCAAATTTATGCAGCCGTCCTGTTCCAAAAGTTTAGAATTTTAGCCTCAGATATGTTGTTGGTTTCTTTTCAGGCCAACATGATGGTGTGTTGTTTCAAGCTTCAAGTCGTTCATTTTTTCAATTTTATTTCCTTCAACCGCATGCCTTACAAATCAAAAACATTCACATTCATGAGTTCATGATTCAAAAAAACAGCTTCGATCCAAGATTAAATTACCACATGGCCGAGCAAAGTCAACACACAGTGGTTGGACAATGCGATCAAGCTATAGTGTGAGATGCTATGAGCAACGATTTATAAACAGCGATAAGCTCGTAGTTAAGATACCATCGAGCCATGTTCGGAGTTGAATTGGAATGGGTTCATTTTCAACTGCTCACGGAAGTAAACTTCCAGTCGTACTGCCACATGTTCCAACATGTTCCAATAATGGTGGTGAAAGAAATTCAAGTTCAAATCAAAAAACAGCGCTGCATTGCCGATGATTGCGAAAGACCCATTCCCACATCTGCCTACACCCTTCACCATTATTGTTCTTCTGAGCTCCTCCCACCACTTACTACCATGAACCTGCGTATGGTGTCCTAGCCGTTTATGGTATCAATGTCTAAATTTTGCCATTGCGACTACTATTGCTACTGATACTGCTGCTGACACTACTGCTGCAACAACTGCCACCAGAACTACTGCCATAAGGCTACTGCTGATACTTACAAATACCAAGAAACAATACCACCGCCAGACACTATACCACGGCTTCCTGCCATGTATACTATATATATATATACTTTACTATATGCTTTTTATGTATATGGAATACTGTATCTCGTATTCTGACTCAATACTCTAACTTCTTCATGCTGCAGAATACATTAAATACATATCGTACTTGTGCACTTCCAAAGCTTCTGACTTCAAGATCATTGGCGCCATTTGTCATCTCAAAGGATATCATGGCCAGTAATTGAAGAAAACTAGTATACAAGTAGGATACAAGTAGGATACAAGTAGGATACAAGTAGGATACAAGTAGGATACAAGTAGGATACAAGTTACAAGTATATACGCACACTAAGTTATATACTATATACAGTTTACAGAGATACTTGCACATACACAATCGCACCACTGCACCTGCACAACTACTTGCACAAACGCAATCGCACCACTGCACCTGCACAATCGCACCACTGCACCTGCACAATCGCACCACTGCACCTGCACAATCGCACCACTGCACCTGCACAATCGCACCACTGCACCTGCACGATCGCACCTCTGCACCTGCACAATCGCACCTCTGCACCGCATCATTGTACACTAGCACCGCCCTTCCACGATAGCAAGCACAAGAACATATGTTTTTCATGGCTTTCAAATT